TTCACGCCATTGATTTTGTTCTGACACTATTCTGTTTTGGCATTTATGTAGCAGGTACTGGAATTAAAGTTTAAATGTTAGAAATTACAGTTGGTGTGATAAAAAGAAAGTAACCTTTTTAGATTTATACTGTTTATGTTTGGAGAATAAAATAATTATGCAAAAAGTGTTTTGCAGGTATAATTTTTTTAACAGTTGCTGACTGTAGGAAATAGTCATCACAGCCAAGTTAGTACCTGTGAAAATGTATGATCAAACTATTAAGGACAGCTTCAATTTGTTAGTGCGTCAAAGTACTTTAATAGAATCACAGAATATACGGCAGGAAGAGTTGTGAGAGATTGTCTTGTCCATCTCCAAACCTTAGAGCTACCTGCCACGCCTGACAGGTATTTGACCAGTCAGTCATTAAAATGTCAAGTGCTGGAAAGTCTTTCCCAAGGCAAACTATGCCAAATTAGGGAACAGTTTGGAACCAGCAGAAATGCAAAAACTGTCTTTACAGTCAGCAATCACATGTCTGAATGAGTCTTTTTTTTCCATCCGAAGATAACATCTGGAAAACCATGAGGATGTCTGAAGCGCTGTCAGAAGATAATTGGAAATCCCGGGCATGCCCATAGCTCATATACACTGAGCTATATACTGTATCTGCAGTTAGTCTGATGCTTTCAGAAAATGTTCGTCTTGCTTTGTGTGCTTGACAGAGTAGATGTGTATGTCTTGTTTCCAGGAGATATTAGATGGACATATGAATGTGCACATATGGGATGTATTTGACACTTGGGATTTTCAGACCCACTCTTAAGTGTCATGTAATTGCTCTGAAAGCACTAAGTCCAGAACGTCCCCAGAACACCGCAGTTACTGAGCACATTCAAACTTGTTACATAGTGCATGAACACATATTTCTCTCTGCAGGATCCCAGATAGATGCAATAGTTGAACACTTAATTACTGTTAGATGGTTTAAAGTCTAACCTAAATTTTACTTGTTGCAGCTTAAGCTGCTTACTTTTTGTCCTCCCCACAGTGGAAATATATGAGAGTTATTTCTTTTCTCTTATATATCTCCCCTCCATAATTTTTTTCTTTGGACTGAATAATCAAATTCCATCAGTCTTACTTTGTAACTTGTGTTTTGTAGACCTCTGATTATTCTCATTTCTCTCCTCTGCTGTCTCTCCACATTTTTTAAGTGTAGTGTTCAAAACTCGACTCAATTACTCCACCTGAGAACCTTACTGGTACCAAGTAGAAAGATTACACAGTTCTTGGAGATGACGCTCTTTATACATACCAGTATGATGTTTACCTTTTCATAACAGCATGGTATTGTTGAGTCATGCTCTGCTTCTGATCCACCAAAATCCCCATATCTTTTCCTGCAGAGGTGCTGTCTGACCGGTCCTTCCCCAGTCTGTGCATTTGTACAGTTGTTTCTCCCTGCTCACAGAACTTCGCATTCTCCCTATTTAAACTTCATCAGTTCTTTCAGTTTCTCCAGTTTGTCAAAACTTTCTTTGATACCTATTGTCACTTGCATTGACGCAACTCTGTGTATGATGTCTGTGCTGTAATATATGATGTGAATGTATCACAGTCTATACACATTTAATAGTCAATCTATCCCTTTATGCAGATTATCATTGTAATTCAGTGACAACATTGAATGATTTTGGAACAAGGTCAGAAGGAAGCCTAAAAAATTGTGCTTGCTACCCATTGTTTAACAAACACTCAAAGTAGTTACCAAGTTGAGTACAATATGTATGGTCAATTGTACAGCCAACTGATTTTGTCTAGGTCACACTTCCCTAGCTTTCTTGTAAGATGTCATGAGAAACATTGCCAAAAGCCTTACTGAAACCATTATAAATGACATCTGCTTCTTGTTCCCAGCGCACAAGAGCTGTTACCCTGTTAAAGAAAGAAATATGTTGGTTTAGTATGGTTTTTTTCCCAACAATTTCATGTTAGCTGTTACTCATTTTATTGCTATCTTCTAGTTTTTTACTATAGTGGAAGTAGTTTAATAGTGGAAGTAGTTCTGTTTTTTTTTTCTTGAAATAGAAATTCAGTTGACTAGTATAATGCTGTAATTACTTGTCTCTAATAAAGAAGATTAATTAAACACTGTTTGCAAATGCCACTAGAGAGCTCTATATTTCTTGAAGACAGAAAAATTAATTCTTCTGGACAGCAATATGGCAAAACAGAGCTAAACAAAAGATCAATATCTTTATTTTAGTTAAAACTTTTTTTTTTTTTTTTGACAGTGTTAATTTCAATTTATAAAAGATTAGATTCCTGTCGGAAGTCAAAAAGACCCAGTTAGGTTTCACTTCTCCAAAAATAAAGTATATCTGATTTTACAGTGGTAATGGTGACCAATGAAGAGAGAGACAGTGCAAGTGTACAGGATATGGATGAAGAGTCTCAGCTTCTCTGAGAGAAGGTTTTTCTTCATGGCTGGGACACAAATTTCAAGTTTTTCCAGAGAGGCTTTTGCTCAGTCATAAAGATGAATTCTGGAAGAAAAATTTAATTGTTTGTGATTTGAACATTTTTGCACAGGGTCTCTTTTCCACTTAGATTTCCTTTTGATCTGTGTTCGTTTATACTAGAGTTTGTTTCAACAAAGGTGGTGAAGAATTGGACCCATGGGGAAACTGAGGTACTAGTTGATTATGAAAATGTGAAAATAAACTGGATCAACTGATGAAGTCTCCACAAAGATTTGTAAAATACTGGACTCTAGAATAAAGTGTAGATATGAGCACAGTTCAAATGAACATATATCAAACTCATGTTTCAATGTTTGTGATATTTTGAATATCCCACTGTTTAATAGATTTCTTCAAAGGATAAGTATCTGTCTTTCTGCCTATCTGAAAGAAGTCTCTCCAAGGATATGGAAGTGGTTGTTTCAGGGTATTGGAGAATACTTTCTCCATGCTTTTGTCACAAAATTATGTTCTTTATATCCTTATATTCTTATGTAGGTCCTTATTGTCCCACTCCAATGTTGAGCAGAAGTGGCATTGAACTCGCATCCAAGCCTCCTCCAGTCCATGTACTTTTGTCCTCCTAAATCAGTCAGGCATCCTACTCAAAAGAGAAACAACAGTATATAATCTCACTTTTGGAAATTATTAGCTATTGTCTAGGTAGGGCAAAGTATATCACAGTAAATTTATATATTACTCTCAGATTAGTAATGAAATACTATATTTCTCAATGTTCAGATATTATGTAAATGGACTAGATTTTATGTATAGACAGGTTATAGATTTACAATTTATAAAACTGCTATAAGGCTTTAGGATACATTTCACTTATCTCTGAACAGTTTCTGTAGCAGGTGTGATCATTATTTTTATCATGAGGTCTACAGAATTCAGCTCAGGCATTTCAAACAGGTTTTGTTTCTTGATGTGGCAGTTAGATCTGACACCAATTGGTAACAGCAGTCTTTCTGATCTTTTTTTCCCCTTAGCTCCACTTGATTTACAAGTTATTGTTAACAATTAGTCATTTGAGTGTGATGTTCAGTCTTGGCAATGTTGAAAGGAGTTTTAAGTTTGAAATGTCCATGCAGTTTGACCCTTCTCTCCCTTTACTTTGTTTTCTTTGATGTAGAACAGGTGAATTGGTTCTCTTCAGTAATTGTGCACTTACTGTTCAGGGCACAATAAGCGTGCTCATATGTCGTGATTGGACTACTCTCTTTAAGTCAGCTTGAGAGTCATCCTTAGTGGTTGCCATGCTGTGCTACACTGCAGTCACTGCTATTGTGGCATCTTGCACATAAGCTCAGTCCAGTATTTAAGTGTAAATTGATTTTTTCCCACCCAAATTTGAAGAGAAAAGCTTGACAAGCCATCTCTTACAAGTTAAGTTATAGTTTTGGGAATAGAACAAAAGATGAGGAAATAACTGAAGCAGACCATTATGCAGGCAGAGATATAGTCAGTGCTCAGGGGTGCAGTTAGGTTGCTGAAGGAGGAACGGTTTTCAGAATGCACCCATTCTGCTGTGTCCCAATAAGGTCAAAATACTTCATGGGAAAGACTATTTTCTTAGATACAGGTCAAATTGTCTTTGACACACTTGGTAAGAATATAAGTATTTAGGAATGTATTATCTCCTGAAATTACTTTAATATTAAATATACTTATTTGTTTAATCTGATATGTTTATATAATTTATCTCCTGTTCTCCTTTATCACACTTTGCTCTGACAAGATACAGTAAAAAAGCGCATGAATTTATTTACACACAACAGAAATAATATGAGAAGACTTGGAACAATATATAAAGAGATCATAAAAACAGTCTGTTTTCAAAATATGTTGCATTAAAATAGAAGCAATAACAGGGATCAGGGATCTCTATTCTTTTCAGAAAAGCTATAAACAATGACAACAGCAGAGGCAGAATTTTGTAGTCATTAAAGTACCTCTTGCTACGTTTGGTCAGTTCAGTCTTGGGGAGTCTCTCTGGCATCACATCATATCAAGTTCACTTCATATTTTACTACCATCTTGACTGTTGTGCAGGTTTTCTATTTTCCAGAACTGGTCTGCTGTTTACGATCTAAGCTGGAAGAGAGTAAATCTACCATTGTTTGTATCAGGGAAACCTACTATCTTTGTCCAGGTTTTTTTTTGTGTGTGTTGTTTAGTATTTCTTTCTGGTATGGCATTTGTTTCATTTTTTTCACTTTCAGTGCTTGTTATGAAAAGACCTTCATCAAGAATGAAGGTGCCTTTTATGTAAAGGCTAGAAACAATTTGTTTAGATTAAGAGTTTGAAAGTTCTGCTCTAAATTTAGAATCAGTGGCTGAACCAGGTACGATGTAGTCCTGGACTAACAGCTAAGTGGGAACAAAAAGTGCATTTTTATGTGTGAGTCTATACACTTTGATTTGCAGGTTTTCTAATGAGTGCTAGATAAGGTCAATATGTAACATTTCCTTTTTGTTCTTTATCGTCAGAAAAATTACGAGAAGTTGAGTCTTCATAGCAGCAGCAGTGGAGCAGCCAGTTGCAAAAGTGAATTTTCAGAAAATACTGACCTTCCAGCTGAAAGTTGTCAATCTGCATGTGGAAAAGATGAGGAAAGAACATATGAAGAAGTCCTGGTAGAGGATCACAGCACTTTAGAGAACTCTGAGAAAGGTAGTCATTAGCAAAAGAAGCATTAGGAGTACTATTATGCTGGTCAGAGTTGGGTTAAAGCTTCTTTGCTTTCATTTTTATGTGCAGATATGTTCTCTGAATTAGATGATGAGCTGGATGTATTGGACAATTCAAGCAGCTCCAGTTCAAGTCATTTGAAAGAGTCTGCTATTGGTAAGATTCCTTAAGAATGAAGAGTACACTGCTTTCTAATAGCAAAGTAGTTGTTTATTCCAAAATATTAGGCTATTTCATGATTTGTTGCAAGTTCATTATCTGTTGTGGGTCCTAAGCAAAAGAAAAATAAAATAACTGTACCTCTGTGGCAGCCATTTCCAGTATAATACATTTTGCATCACATTTTCTTTGTGTAGCTTGTCCCTATATTTTGAAGTAATGCCTATGAAAACTCGAAAATTTCTGGGCAACTTGACAAATAAATTGTTTTTAGATTTGAAGCACAAGATAACTAGCATTGATAAGAAACAGAAGGAAGACTGCGAAAACTTCTGTCTCAGTAAAAATAATGCTATACAAATGAATAAATGGAGTGCCCTGTTAGAGGGTGTAAAAAAGTAAGTTGAAAGAGGCAGGCTTTAGCTGTCTAGATGAATTCACTAAATGGAATTGAAGGAATGCTTGATGATTAGATTTGAATTAGGAAGGGATTATGTGACAAAACACAGCATTAATTCTGCCTGTAGTTATTTATGGTAATCAGATAGGAAAGCACCACCCGTGTTGGGTGTTATCTTCATTAATAGTTTTTTGGATTATACGCTAAATATGAAAATTAAAAAAAAAAAGAGAGATGTGAAACATCTGCAACCACTGTGAGATATCTGCTAAATTCTGAGCTACCATTATCTACCTATTAAATGGGATGGGATTCTGATTAGAGGAAAATCAAAGATTGGCTGAGCAAAATTTGAGATTTCCATTCATCCCATGAAACTCTGACAGAAAATCTGTGGATGATTAAGCTGTCCTTTTAAAAGGTGAAGGGAATGTGGTCTGAAGATTAACAAATTTTATTGTTTCAGGGTCCCAGACTTCAAAACAACATAGAATAATATTACTTTATCTTAGTAGTGCGGTTTGCTAGCTGGGTTTTCTTCAGATTTTGGCCCAGATACTGAAGAAATATGACTGCTTTTAATTGAAATGTCTAACCATTAGTGCAGGGTAAATAAATGATTTGATAATTCTACTTAAAATCCAATAATATGATTTGCTAATTGTAACTGGATAGCCTGCCATTCTAAAGGCTGGAGGACCTGTGGCTAGCCAGCCCTGAGTTTGTAATCAAGGTTTTTTTTAAACAACAACAAAAAGAAAGCAAAAAAAAAAAAAAGCTTTTTCTTTGTTACTTTCTTGTGCTAAAAGAGTAACAAGAGAAGCTTACAGGTACAGGAAAGCCTAGTCTGACTGTGGGAGGGGGCGGCATAGAAGGAATGTCTTGAGGAAAAGCAGCCTGCAGAGGCAATGTTCTATTTTGCTGTTTATACTGAAGAATAACACACTGTGCATCTCCCAGAAATTGAATTCTTTGTGGGCTAGTTCAGCATTGTACACAGACATTTGAAATCTTTGTGTGGTTTGTAACTTGCCACACCCAAAGTGTTCTTGGTAATGATTTCCTTGTTGTTAATTTTTCTTTGTTAAGATTTGGACATTAAAAAAAATCAATTTTTTCTAATATTTAGATATTTTTGTGCCAGATTTCCGTTGATTTAATGAAATATTTTAACTGGAAAGATCCACTCAGCTCCTATTAATCCCAGTAACTTTAATCAGCATTTCTAGAAGTCATTGCCCATTTTCCTCCCAGCATAGAGTTTAATTGGTACACAGATACTGCAGGATTGCTTTTTCAGAAAAATAATTCTGCAGTCATACATTCTTAGATCACCTGTAGTTTCTACTTAATGTTGAAGTTAGCATTGTAGATCAGTTGTAATTAATGCTGGCAATTTTTTCTTCTTTTCAGGGAAAAAGAAAAGATAGCTTTTTTAAAAAGCATTATAAATTCAGGATACCTGGGTATTGCTTTGGTTATGCTCCATTCGTTGCTAATAAATGGCTAACAGTGTATGAATTATCAGCCATGGTTTTGTCAAGCATGTCAGCATTACAGGGGAAAACATGACCAACTTTCATCTAGCTAACAGGAAAGTGTGAGTTTCAATTACGGGTATATTGATCAGGGTCTTGAAAGGGTTTGTCTAATCATGCTGCCATCACATCACTTTGAGAGAAAACATGATCTGCAAATGAAAAATATTGCTCTATTTTAAAACTGGGGTGGTATTTTGTAAAAAGGTGTGATATACTGAGTTATTCAGTGGCACAGAAACTGGTATGCATGTGAGTGACAGCGTAATAGTGGTTAGCTTTTTTTATAGTCCACTAATTGTCATAATATCTTTAATAATTTTACATATCCTGTGCTTTTCAATTATGCTTGAAGAAAAGGATTATTGTTCTTAGTCTAGACAATGTAATTCTACAAGATCAGCTCCTTTATCAACTCCTAAGATTGCCAAATGCAAGGTATGTAGATTCTGGAATAGTTGTTTATGCTACTTGAAATGATTAATCCTACAGGAGCAAGATTCTGTACATTTCGGAAGTGTAGAGGCAGTAGGGGGAGATGCGATTTTTTTCCCTGAGGTCCTTATAATTTGAAATGATAAAGACTGACAGAGGATAGGGACATATTAAGTCAAAAAGCAACAAAGAGTGATGGCATGATTACAGCTTATTAGTTGCATTATTTTTCTTATTTTAAAATTAAGAATGTTCCCAACTTTACCTAACCTTAGTCATATTTAAGGGGTTTGTACTTGGTTTTGATTTACAGTGTAACTGTATCTGCATTTGTGATGGTAAACCAAATAGCAGGAAAATATGTGGTGTCTTTTAGTGCATAGTAGTCCAGTAGAGCTAGTATGTTAGCTGGGTGAGAGAGAGTTTAAAAGTTTACTCTATGTCTGGGAACACTTTTTGGAAAATATTTTTTGTTTCCTTGAATCATGTTCGTTTACCCTGCAATCAGGACAATGTCCTAAATACATTGAAAGACTAGTTCTGTGTAAAATATGCTATTAGAAAACTCTAGTCCCTAGGATTTTATGTAGTTGCCCTCTGACCTTCCTCACAATAAAAAGGTAAGCATACAATAGGTCCCTTTCAGAATTGCTCAGCTACTAGCTTTTCATGAGGCTAAGAAGTCTCAAAGCACAGTCCTGTTGTTGTGCTGTATCTTGCTTAGGAGTTTTTCTGTTACCTCATAATTTAATATATGTCTCCAGTATTTGGAGGAATCTCTGAACTTATCTAACTTATGATCAATAAGCAAAGACGTTGAGATTCAGGGCTTCTTTTCTTGCCAAAATTTCTGCAATGCAATAGTATTCAGAGTTACCATGTAATGAAGAGACCACAGATGTGTCAGAAGAATATTCTAGTGATGTAACTCTGGAAGGGTCTCCTATAACTTTCTTTGAGCTTTTAGAAAAGCAACTTATTTACACAGTACCAGGACTTGTGTCTTGTGCAGGTAATGTTCAAAGTAGTCAAAAGTACCGAGTTGAATCACTGGGGATTTTTGGAACTAGGATACTCTCAAAATAGGAACGCTGCATGTTGTACGTAGCAAATGATTGGGCTCTGAGTTTAGGTCATCACTTAGCTCCAAATTTAACTATTTTTGAGGATAACAACAAACACATTCAGTAATGTCATTTGCTGTCTGGAGCTAATAGTTTCATTCAAAATGTGTAATTGCAGGCAGCTACCTTATATCTTGCAAGTTCTGTGATCATAGAGTGGTGTGTTTGGTTTTTCTTTTTTTTAATTCAGACCAGTTGTATTCTTTGGTGGATTTGATGATTTGAGAATATATTTCTTCTTTACATAGGATGTTTAGATAGTTTGGTAAGTCTTAGGGGTAAGATCTTCTCACATCTGTTATATATGGTTCTTTAGCTTGTGAGGGGAAAGCTTAGGAAATTTGTTGAAAATTATTATTGCATCAAGAAACCCATAATTTGCACAATGGGCTGTCTGTGAAGAATTTTGGAGATCAGTGTTTTTAGGCTTGTTTTTCCCAATTTGACTTTGTCTAAAATTCAGATTTCTCTTGAGACCTCAGTGTAATGGGACTTTGTTGAAAACATCAGCTAGAACAAGATCTGCTGAGACCTGGTTTTCCTGTATAGTGCTTGAGTTAAGCTTAAAGTATGTTTATGGCAACTTCTATTGCTGTACATGTAGTCACTGCCTATGAGCAAAAAACTTAATTCTGTTTGCTCTGCAAAACAGCTTAATTAACATGGTTTGGACTGTCCATTCCATGTAGTGATCTACAGGGCAGCCTACTAAGAGTATTTTGTATAAATAAAGGTAATTTGACCTTTCTTCTGAAAAAGTCATTAAGCCGTCATTCAAAAAACCACTTCAATTGCTTCCATTTCATTCAAGGAGATGGATTGAAGTTTTCTGCTAATGTGAAATCTTGATTCAATTCTCCTGTCAGTCTGATCAAACTTGAAAGGGTTTTCAGAGGTTTTTTTTAGATACCAGTGAAATGAAAGTGAAAGCCAAAAGTTACTGCCTTCCCAGGTTTTTCTGAACTTGTATCACATTATAAGCCCTTTTCTTGAAATTACATGGTTAGGTGCCTGCAAGAGAAAAACACTAAACTGCATATTATAATGTATTTCTATGATTTGCAATGATGTCAATGCATGTTATGAAGTTAAAGCCTTAGAAGTTGCTTTAATTACATCAGCTATTAAAGACCGAAGTAGCAGTTGGAAAAATGCTTGATGCCTCATTCGAGATATATATCTTCATAAACCTGTTCAGAACAGGGAGGCTGATGAGCATCAAAAGCTTTGGCTTTTGTGCGTCTTTCACATTCCAACAAGGGTGGGCACAAAACAGGAGAGAGATGGAGGATTTATATTTCATTTTCCTTGAGATCACCTTGAACTGAGAAATTCCCTCTTGCAAGGCATTTGAACAAAACATATGTTGCCTTGATCTTCCCATCCACGTCAAAAAGGAAATATGGTCCAGGTAACACCTTGGGCTGAACTATGCACTATGTGCTCCATGACTTATGTTAGTTAGCTTTCCTGTGTATCTGTGTTGTTTCTTACTCCCTGTCTGACTTTATATGATTAGCATAACTCTTACACAAAAGACTAAGGATTATAACTGAAGTAATTAGTGTTCATGGGTGTGTGTATACAATGTTTTGATTAATGTTACAATGATTTTTAGATGTCCGAGTCTCCTCGTGCTTAGTTATTGAAGAAGTTATTTCAATGTATTTTCATAGAGACTCCTCTCTCAGTTGTAGCTGCTCAGTGCGTCTCTAACATAATAATAATAAGCAATAAAAATGGCACTGAAGGGTGTTGGCTATTGTTTACTGATATTCTGCATCATGATTTTTTTTTAGCATTAATAAGTATTTTCCTAACTTTAGCATATGAATCAGAAAATATTGCATCTCTGCCATGTACAGTGAGTGGTGAGACAGACTCTTTGGTGTGAAATATCA